TTCTTTCCCTTTCCATCTTTCACGGGATACGTTTATTTTGTTCGAGCGCGGAAACCAGCGGCCTCGTTGTTTTTCTCGAATAATGGAACAATATCTGGTGCCGCGGAAATGGAAATATATTTAATAACCGATACGCACGGCGCGCGCGTTACACGGCTGCGGCGGTTCGGACATGCGGTTTGTTTTGTCCAATGTGGATTACGCGTTGATGGAATATTATCGATACGCCGGTAAGAGATTTCGAACAGTAATGCATACACTAAAATTTTATGCGTCGAACATCACGGATTTTTAATGAGAAAATTGATGAAACGAAAATTATTATTCTAGTTAAGAATAATATTTATTCTTCACTCGATTATGACTTGATATTATATTAAAAGCGTAAGCTTCACTTTACGAATATTTCATAAAATGAAATGAAATTACTATTTAGCAAGATATTTAACGTTACAAGAGCAGTGTGTAAAATGAAATTATTTCACTTTTGACGCTCGCGATGTGTCCAGGAAGCGCAATATTTTCTATGAGGTGAAAACCATGAGGTTTTAATTATCCGTGTTGTCTTTCCAACGAAGAGAGAGCTGATGTTGATCGAGAGAAACGTTTCCATTCCCGCCATTTGTCTCGTTGTCTCACGTCTTCCCGCGGGAAAACGCCCGCGTGCGGGACGTGCCAGCGATTTGTGTATTTTGACGAGTTTCGAGCTCGTCAGAACCGGATGTCTCCACTCCGGAGACCCGAGAGGCGCAACCAGCTGTCTCTGGTTTTGGCTTCCCTCAACACCCGCCGCCATCCCGAGCTCTTCCCCCAGAACGCATCGTTACAAATGCAAATAGCACCTCGTACGCATTTTTTTTTCCGCTTCACGCCACGGCGCGAGCAGGAGAACGCGTTCCGCTCATGGGAAGGATTATTAGCATAGGAAAGTTAAATGAAATTTACGTGCCTGTATCCGTCGCATTGTGTCGTTGAAACATATTTAAATACAACAAAACATATGCAAAAACGAATCGATTTACGATAATATCCAAATAAATCTTCCCGGAGACTCTCAAACGATGTTATACGCCACTCAACAGTACGCAAACATGGTAATTCGGTTTGAGAGGCATGAATTATGAGATTTTTTATTTTGTTTAATATTTAAATCATGTATGCAAAAATAGTACTTCTATCCATTCATACACATAAAACAATATAAAGAGAATAAAATGTTTAAAATAATAATTTAATAATATATTCCAATAAAGTAGTAATAACGAATTTTTGACAAGTTTTTTTGACATTTTTAGACGTACAAATATTTTTGTAGCCATCGATTTCGTTTGCTAAAAGAATAATAATTAAATTTATAGGATTTATATTATTATCTCGTTTAATTCAAGATACATTTTCCGCAGAAGATACAAGAATCCCTTTGGCTCGTCCTTTCTAACATTTTTGACATATTATTATTTTCTCCACGCGCGCTTAATAAATCCCTCTCGCCGGAAGATTTTATGAAAACGTCGCAATAAACACTCGGAGATGCCGGTTTTTCTTCGCTTTTACCGAATTCCGCCGCGCTTTCCCGTCGTGCGAGAAATGCCGGTACTGAATCATTTTACCTTACTTTCGATTCGGCGGGCGGAGGAGGAAGGGGAGGGTGAACACACACCCGCACGCGTAGCAAAATAAAAAAAAAGAAAAAGAGGGGAAAAAAGGGAAGAAAGGGGAGAGGAAGAAAAAGAAAAAACGCGTCAACGAACCGGTGTCGATGGCGCCTGCGCCAGCACGCACCGTCGAGTATTCTCTCACGGCGTGGCGCCGCGACGCCAGGCGTCGTCAGTAGCGCGGCGTGCGCCGTCATACTCGCACGTTACTCCTCATCGAGCCGCGCGTGCATATGCAGTGCGCGTAGTCGCACGCTCTCGTCTTAGATAGTCTATATAATCTTCTCCTTTTTTAGCAAATTACCGCAAACTTCTTAAAAACAAACTTAAATAATTTCTTTTTCTTCGAATCGTAATACACGTTAAAATCTCGGATCTTAAACAATTGCGAAGTAATTGTAAAAATGACATAAATCTCAGATAAATGAATTATCGGGGTGATGAAGGAACTTAGGAGCAATATTGAATAAATTTCCCATGTATTTCGAACTAAGCGAAGTATTCGTTGGAGTTTTTATCAAAATCTAATTTGAATTTTTTTTTTCATTAAAGTGTAATGAGACACGATATTATCAGCAATGGATAAATGTGTAAAGTTCACCATTGCGCAACGCTGGACTTCGTTGAGGAGAGACGAAGTGCTAGTACAAAGAAGTGTCGCCGAGATGATCTAGAAATAGCGCTCGCGAGAACATTCGACAAGAAGAAATAAACGCTAGAGCTGAGTGAAGAGGAACGATTAAATTGCAGTTACTTTTTTTTACATTTTTTGCGGGATATTGAGTCTAATAATTTTTGGAAAACTCATGCGAAATAATTAAACGAAGAGACATTAAAATCGTGCTCTCACTGTTCTACGCGATGTATAATTTAAAAAAAATTTAAATTGTGCGCGCGCGAGGAAAAACCAGCCGCAGTGTAACTCACGACATCGCTTGGAAAACGTTTTCGGCCCGGCGTCGACGTCGTTACTCTTCCGGTTTTCGTGCGCCACCCGTATATATTCAATACGCGAAACGTGCGCACACGCGGCTTTCGTGCCGGAATAAATCGCGATAAATCGCCGCCGATTCGTGCGGACGAGCTGCGGCGGAGCACGTGTCACACTTCCACGCCAATTTTCGACCGATGTCGAATCGTTCTATTCATGCCCGTTCGATTCATATTATAACCAGTTTATTACCGTCTTCGCCATCGTTAGCAGCTGTTGACAGTTGGGTCATTTACTTATCTGTTATACGTCATTTATATCAATTATAATTCGATAAGTTGACAACAAACTTGTTGAAATACTTTGAATAGAACTTTATCGCATACATTCCAACTTGTCGATATCTCTCGTCTGATGATTACTTGCCATAAGATGCCAGGCGAAACGCGTATATAATCGAGTATATCGCTCATAGATGATCGTTTGAACAGATATCGGATTATCTTGGGAAATTGCGCTTCCTGTTGCATCGAGTTTACATTGTGACTGTTATGACTGAATATTGCAAGACCGTAGATGGTTTGCATCACTGATCAAGCCTCGCCGGCAAGCTATGAAAGTGTCATGAGAAAATTGTGAAATCCCGGAATTTACGCGATCCCGTGAGGATTCCAATCGAAGTGGAAGATTCCTGGAATTACTGAAACGACATGGCGACTGGCCAGGAAGGCAAGGAATCTCCCAGGTATTACTTTTGATATATATTTTATAAATAATCAGAATAATGTTCTAATTAAATTGAATATGTTTATATCGCGAGGAGAATTCATTAATGAAAAAAATTGCATATAATTAATTTTTATTTATTATATCAATTCGTTTCTATGGATATTATTTACTCCGATTATAATAATAAATGGCATATCTCTGTGGAGTCAATTATCTTCTCGAGAAAAATTTCGAAGAAGAGATTAATGTTGTGCTTGTTAACATCCAATCAAGCCTTCGGAGTCTCTAATCAACAGGATTCTTCGCTTTCCGCTTAATTGCGCGTGGCGGTAGCCTCATTAACAAGACGCGCGATTAATTGCTAATGGATAATTAAATCCCAATTAGTTTCTCATTATCTTTACATTGCGTGTATGTACTTGGCATGCGTCTTCCGATACGTTACGGCGATTCAATCATTGTAATTCAATCAAGGGAAATGGAGAGAGAGGAAGAACCGCACACTTACAGGCGCGCGCGGATTAGTTCGAAAGCGAATCGAGAAATCCGTTTTTACCGATACGTCGGAATTAAATCCCGGGGTGAGGCTTTCTATCTACTCGCGATGGTAATCGCGGCACGTACCGCGACATGACGACGCGGTCCATGTGCGTCGGGGACGTCTATGAACGTGACTGACCATCATGCGACGACCGCTTGCAATTGTGCTCATCATTTTGCTGTCGAGTGTTACGTGCGAGCTCGTCCAATATACGCAAGGCGTAAAAAGCGCAAGTGGAGCTTGAAATGTGCAATGGCAACTGTATAATGAGTAATTAAAAATTAGCCTTATTATTACGCGGAGAGAAATGTATTGCTAATCTTGCTTCGGGTCGCAGAATACGCTTTTATCACAATTCGTCGTAAAAACGTTGAAAAAGCGAACACGCTAAGCAACATAAATAAATTTTAAATATTTTGTATCGCGCTTTGGCGTATGGCGAGATCAGCTATCGGTTCCTATATAAAAGCATCATATTACATCCATGCATGCTTCTCATAAAATCACGCAAATGCCGTTCATTCTCGTAAATTCGCCAGTCTAATATGTAGTATGCGGTATATGTGAAAATAGATTGCTATGAAATAATGGCTTTCATAAAATATGATTGCGCACATAAACGTATAAATTTCGCGTATAATTTTAAAATTCTTGACCATGCTGTCGTGCTTCTCGTAATATATATACTCTCCACAAAGTACGGTACAATAAAATATCGCGATCGGCATCGATCGTCTTAAGATGATCTCGCGTGGATTCCTCTGACATTCTACTCGATATAATCTCCATCCAGTAGATATTTAAGAGGATAGAAGCAGATCGGTAAAGATGGAAATGGACATGAAACCATCGCTTGTACAAAATATTTTTTCGTTTGTCTCATCATCATTTTTGCGCATGATGGTTGTCGAGTCGCGGAAGCAAAGAAATCCAGCACGCATTTTCACGAGATATTAGTTTTTCGTGGCAAAGGTAAAATTTCGCTGAAAAGCCATTGGCTGTTTCGATGAACTTATCTATATCTCTCGAATCATATATGCATCGCTGCCATTTTATTTTGAATGTTAAGTTCGATGCATGTTACATGTTGGATATAGAAGATCTTTTCAATTATATTTTCCATTGTTTTCTACACGAGAAACATGATTTTTATAAAAACTCGTGAAATCCTCAAACGAAGTATATTCAATCGAGTATATTTATACGCCAAATAATTATAAAGCTTGCAGGCAAAAATATTTTCCAGATGACGAGAAAGCTGTTATCGAATTACACATATTTTCAGAAGACCTTATATGCAGCGTGAATGAAATATAAACGAATAATAAATCGCTTGAAAAAGAGAATATTGAAATGAATATAAAATTAATATAAATATGAAAATTATTAGTAAAAATGTTTATTTTGTTCATTAGATAGTTTTACTAGAAAAATAATTATAGATAGAGAATAAAAAATTAAAATAGATATCGTGCACAAAAGGATTTCTGCGAAAGCTATTGTTCATGAATATAAATCACGTTGGATCGTTCGAGAAAAAATATTATTCTGGCACAATATTGTTGTATGCAACATGAAGACGGTGGAAATCTTGAAATAAAAGAGCAATATTTTTTAGTCTAGCATTACCGGGTTGCATCGCATGAAACGGCTTGAAACAAAAGTTCGTTGCATGTTGAACGAGCTGATAACTATGATAACTACTTGCAGTAGTCGGCTAACAAGCAGGATTCCCGTACACATCCGCGTGCGCTATTGAATCCAATAAGGTGAATGCACTCGACCTTGTCGAACATTGTTGCATATACATGAAATGCGGAGCTATTCCGATACATTTCGACATAGATCCTTGATACATAAAGTCGTTCTCTAACGTTTATGAAGCTTGCGGTACGACATATTAAATGAAAACGGAGACACAACTACTTGATTCGCGCAAGCAAGTTAACAAAATATCTGTAAACCATATTCATACGGCATTTATTGGCTGATTATTTTATTTTGTTCCCCATAATACGGCGAATATCGAAGCAGCAGAGTAATATACATTTATTCCAAATGCCATTAATATTAATTCCATTATCGAGTGCCGCTGTAGTTAAATAATTCGATTTTTCTTTTTTTTTTAATGCTCCCGGATAATTCCGGGAATATTTTAACTTACACTCTTTACATATCAAATCCGAGAAATGTGCGAAATTTGCGCAGAAAATAATTTTGCGAAGCCATCGACAAACGGAAACTCGCATCGCACTACAAACCGCGAGCGAGTTTCCCGGCGGAAAGGCAACAATGATTTAAGATAACGGCGAGAGATGCCAGGAATTGACAAATTGCCCTAGACTGCAAGACCGACGCGGATAGAAAGGCGTCGTAAGATCGGCTAAAGGTGAAGAGTAATATGTCGCGGTAAGGAAAGAAAGGTTCTCCCACACGAGATCGACGGAGGGCACGTTGGAAGCTAGGGGAGGGGGAGACAGGACAATAGGACCGATAAATAAATCCGTAATCGGTGGTCCACCAGGTTTAGCCTGAAATGGCTCGATTGGCTCCTAAAGGTGATTTCCAGGAGGGAAACCGGGTTCGGGCAAGAAAAGCTCTTTCACGCTCTTCATCTCTCTTTCTTCTTGTTGCCTCGGTCATCGGTATATCTTGCCGAAGGGCTTTACTTTCTCATCCCATTCCACCCTTTCTCACCTTTCTTTTCCCTTTCGCTTCACGGTCTCTCTGTTATTTGCCGTCAATTCGTCGTCACCGGATAAATCCGTGCACGTGAAAAATTGCAAGTAAGAAGAGAACTTGTAATTAACTTCTCACCTTTTCGCCTCAGTCTTCAACATGCCGTATATAAAAGAATGTACTATTTATTTGCAAATTGTGTATATGTGATTACGGAAATGATCGTAGATATATATTGGGTTGAACGGAAAGTTTGTTCCGTTTTTTACTAAGAGATGAAGACCGAAAAAACGGCACGAACTTTCCGTTCAACCCAATACAATAACTTTGATCTCATTTGAAAGATAATTTAAAACCGAACAAAAAATTTCCTATAAACATGGGTCGAAAAATGCTTCCTTAAAAAGTTAGCGCCCAAAAACCTCTAAAA